CAAACATTCTCTTCCCCATTTAATGGATTTGGGGCCTTTGTCAAAGATCAGCTGACTATAGGTCGATGGATCTATATCTGGGTAGCATCATTTCTAATATTTCATTTATTTTGTCATTTTGTTCTTGTATTTTCTTCCAGAGTTGTTCTAGAGTTTTGTCTGTTTTTCTTGGTCTGTCTCTTGATCCTTTGAAGATACCTTTAAATATAGATCCTTTAAATGAAATTCTTTTGAATTCCTTATCAGAGAGTTCCAATGCTGCTTCTTCCTCAGGGATGTGTTCTGGGCCTGTATCCTGCTCCCTTGTTTCTACCATTTTATCTTGCTTCTTTGTTTGGACTGTGATGGTCTGTTGTCTCTGAGACATTATGGCATTGTTGTATTTAGATCTCTGTTAACTGTTTTAGAAAAGCAGCCAAGAGTGAGTCAGGCTCTTCTTGGTCGTTTTTTATTGTTGGCCTGTTGGTGTAGAAGGAGGTGGTGGCTCTCACACAGTAAGTGAAGTTGCAGGAAGTGTGGGTGTAGTTGTTTCGTATGGGGACTGTTGGTGTCTTTCAGTCCATTAGATGAAAAGAATAATTGAAAACCATCAAAAAAGTAAAAGCATGGGGACAAAAAATACAGTGTGTAATCACACAGGACCAGTAATCAAAAAAATTAAAAAGGGAAAAGGGAAAAGGAAAAAAACAAACAAAGCAAAAACCCTGCAATATCTGGGGATAGGGCAATGTGAGAAAAAAGGTAGAGAACGAGATTAATGAAGAAAAAAATGGGAAAAATGCAAAAAGAGAAAGATGGAACAGGGTTAACCATGAGAAGGGAAAAAAAAATTGCAACCAGGAACAGGGAAAAGAAAAAAAGCTGAAAACTAGAACCTGGGAGGGGAAGAATAAAGAATAATACCAAGAAGGACAAAAGTAATAATAATAATAGTAGTTTTAAAACAGACAAAGACAAGCAAGCTAAAAAACAGAAAAAAGAAAGAAAAAAAAATTGGGGGAGGGCAGGGAAGGACACCCAGGCTCCGTCAGAGCATGCAGACTGGGATGGAGTTCCTAAGGGTCCAGAAGGTGGGTGGGAGTCGGGGATGGCCACACCTCTGTTCACCAAGAGGGTGTGGAGTATAAGAGTAACAGGGGGAAGGTCTCACCTTTTCAGTCGTCCAGGTCTGGAATGTCCTTGGGGTTACTGGCAAGTGGAGCCTGTTCTTAAGCCCCTGGAATCTGGGATAATGCTTTCAATATCCAAAATGGTCAAGCTACTTGTAAACATTCAAAATGGCTGTACCCTCTGGACAGACAAAAGTCCACAGCTCAGTCTGCTTTCCCCTTAG